GTAGTTTATTTATTATTATTGCATTTTAATAATTTCACTACAAACATGAGGAAAAAAGTAAAAGTTATAAAATTTGTTCAATAATAAACTACGTTTTAAAAAAAAGAATTTGAAAAAAATATTAAAAAATAAATTTGAAAAAAAGAAAAAATTTACTTTAAAAAGGTAAATTTAAAAAATGAAAAAAAAAGATTTGGAATTTTACAGGGAAAAAGTGTTATAAATATTATTTTAACAAAGAATAAATAACGGCATTGCATATTAATAATTTTAACTTACTGTTATGTTCAAATTTTAATTTTAATTTTATTACAAGAATTCAAAAATTAATAGACACAAAGATCGATGGCAAAGTTTACGAAAATTACGATAAAAATTAAAAAATCAATTATAAAAATTAAAAAATGAATTATAAAAATTTTAAAAAAATTTTTGACGATTTTACCAAGATTTTTTTTGCACATGGAATGTAATATTCATTGATGCCTTGATAATTTAGCACTTTCTTTACGTGTAAATGAAGAAATTGCGTGATAGTCAGCCACACATTGCAACAAATAGTACATACTGTATTAAATACTGGAAACAAAATTTCGAATATTTTAAATTTTAACATATACAGCAAAATAATTATTACCACTCCAGCTGATACCTGAAAATACAGTAAAATACAGTTTGTTATTAGTTGAAGTTCAATTTGATTTCAAATAAGTATTACAAATATCAAATATAAGATTTAGAATTGAACAAAGCTAATATAATTCCATCGCAATCAAAGTAAAATGTAGAAAAATTGATAGCAATAAAGACTAATTAATAGTACTATGCAAAATTTAAAAATTTTTAAAAAATAAAAATAAAAGAAATAAAAAATATTGAAATTGTTGAACTCCAGATAGCATAAAAAAGAAACTTTAGAGACATTAAAAAGTAAAATTTTTTTTTTGACGTCTATAAAATAGTTCAGAATTATCTCAAAATAATGCCGATTTTTGTACGTTGTATGATAATTTTACTAAAATTTTTATTAAATTTAAAAAGTTCGTTAAATGTTAGAAAATTTAGCTGCTATCACTACGAAAATTTGAATTTGACTCTACCGTATCTTATTTAGAAAAAATATTATTTTTGTGGGGTAAAACCGACCCAAGTTTTTCATATTTTAGGTAAGAAAAGATGAATTGTGCACATATTTGCTTATCTCTTTATCAATATAACGATTAGTTGATCAATCATTCATTCATTCAATCAATCAGTCAATCAATCAATCAACCAATCTATCTATATACCTATCTAAACTTTTCTTAAATTTATGTCGCTTAACTTAACACAAATGTGTCCTCACACGAGCATGAAAATAAAGCAATATTATTTTAATTAAACGAATAATTCACGTTCTATTTTTTCACTTATCGAAAAAAAAAGAAATTAAAGAAGCAATACAGTCACAATATTTTTCAAATTTTTCTATTTTTTTTTACACAATCATAATATTATAACACATTTCTTTAACAACACTTTTGATATATTATTCATTACTTTAAAGGTCACGTAATTAAGTGAACAATCATTGCTTAACAAGCATATCTGATATATTTATTTACTACAGTAATTAACGTAAAATTATGCAAACAGACCAATTCGATATTATGAATAGCAATTGATAATTTTGCGGGCCTTAATAGATAACTTCCTTTCTCGCATTTTTGATCTAATACTTCCAGTGGTATTTCTTTAACAAAAGTTGAATCTCGATCGTCATCATTTGCTGTAATGTAAATACTTTATTATGTTATTTAATACCGTCAAATATACCACTAAAATAACTGTATATAATTGAACTAAATCAGTTGCATATCTGTTTTTAATAAGGTAAGTTGAATAAATGATTTAAAAAACTAAACAAAGTAAATATAAATAAAGATGGTTGGGATAATGCATATATTTTAGTGAGCTAAAAACAAGAATTTGCGTAAATTTTACTTAAAAATTTAGATATTTTATTATTTTTATTAGCTATTTATTATTGTAATGCTTGCATAAATTCAAAATATAAAATGATATTCAGTAAAGCTTTAAAAAATAATTAAAGCATTTTTGTATGCTAATACGCAAAGATGCGATTTTTTTTCTTTTAACATTATCTATTATAATAAATTTGATTTCTGCTTAACTAGACATCTGTATTCAGTCATAATTATTGTTTAAAATTTAATGTTAAGTTCAAACTCGAACTCAAGTACTCAAAAGTGATTAAAATAATAAATACGCATTAAATCAATGAAATAGATAATGAATGAAAAAATAAATAAATATTAAGCAAAAAATTGAAAAATTAATTAAATAAATAATAATCAAATACAAAAATAATAAAATAATTTTGATTATTATTATTTATTATTAAATTTTGCTCAATACAAAAATGATATTTTGTGCAAAATTTCATTAACCATTTTTACACATTTTTCAATACTTTCCCATTAAAATTCAAAAAATTAAAACTATTACGAAAAAGTTATAAAAAATTATTTGTACAAAATTTTGCTGATTTGTTTTCTGCCCAAAGCGTATTTTCCCATTGAGTTACGTCAAATTCCATGCTATTCACATTTTCTGTCTGTAATTTAATCTCACGTGAAAAGTTAATACTGTATGAAAGTTTTATAAAAAAAGATTGAAAGATTTTAAACTGCTAATTATTAAAAGTCATCATTATAAGTCAAAATTTGGTACAAACATAACTTTGTAATTCAGTCCATATACGAAGTATATTTTCTGTAACAGCAAAAATAAAAGAAGAAGCGTTGTTTTATACTTATTATATTATTATAATAAAATATTTTACCAAATAAACCCATCGCAGTTATATATTTTTAATAATTTAGGATGGACTCTTATTGCTTTTAAATAATAATATAAAAGTTATAAAGATTATTCTAACCTCAGAAGTCTTGTCAGGCAGATATTTCTCTGTTGATAACTGCTTTGATAAAGGCTCGCTATCATTTTTAGTCCTCTCAACCATTTCTCTAAATCGTTCTTCAATGTTTGGCATTATCTGCATTTTTAGCTGAGCTTGATCTTTTTTTGATCCTCCACTACTAAGTGAACTGACAGCTTTACGAGATTCCGTTGATTTCCAATTACTCACATGCATTCGTGATTCAGATGATTTCCTGATAATCTATTAAAATTATTTACGACAAAATTAAAGTTTTAATAACAAAATTATAGCAAAAATTATCAGCAAAAATAGAACTGTTTTAATCAATTAATTTAATATTTAATTACAGCATGTAATTTATTGACTCAATAAATCATAATTTGTAATTAAAGTCAAAATTAATTTAAATATATTACATGAGTAAATTTATTAATTCGTTAACAAAGATAACATACAAATATATTAAATTGTCATCGTTTGAAGTTGAATTCTTAGCTGTCAAAGAATGTTTATTCAATTTTGATAGCTCATTCCCACTTGTTTGGTCTGATTTTGTTTTTTGCATATATATATATATATACTTCCAACAATTCAAAAAATAAAATGACTAGAAAATGAACTGTTTGCAACTGCTAATAATACTTTTATATCTTAAATTTCGTACATTCTTATGCATAAAACTAATTGTGCTATTTATTCTTAAATTTGAATATTTTTTAAGTTTTTTAATTTATTACAACGCATGTCAGAAGAGCCGAAGATTGTGCAAATATTTAGCAGTTTAGTATTTAAAAAATTTATATTTTTAAGCTGTTTTAAAATATTACTCTATCTTTTGTTTTGTTGATCAGAACTTTTGGAAGACTGCTTTCAATAATATATAATATATTCGTGAATTTATTAAAAACTTCTTTATGCTGAGAAAATCTTATAAGATTTACAGTACGCTATTACAAACAAATATATTGTAAGAGCTAAGATTCTGATTTTTTATACATTTTATGATTTAAAAAAATATGACTTATTTAAAGTGTTTATAAAAATTTCCTGTTCCCTGAAGATTATAATCAAATCAGTCATATGAATAACTAAATTAAAAAAAAATCCTCATTATAAATTACAGATCTTCTCTAATTAAAATAAATAATGCAACATTAGTTTATATTAAAGATTATAATCTTCAGGGAACAGGAAACTCCTTATGCAAATATTCACACAAATATTTGATAAATTAAACTTACTTGCTACACAATTATTGCTTGTACAATACTCTTTGGTGAATGGCTGCTTCATCAGAGATAGTTTTATTTTAACTGATACTAATTATTTGATACCATTTATTTTTAGTAATGGCATTCATGTTTACTGTAACCACGAAAATTTACCATACTAAATTCTACAAAAGTTTTTATTGACATATTACTTCCGAAGGCTTTAAAATAACACAATTCTAATATACCGTTGTTGTGGATCATTTCAGTTTGCTCAGTTAGATGATTTCCTTAATGCTTATGAAGGGGATAAAGCATACAATTTGGCTAAAACAGTAAGCATATCCTTACCAATACTTTATTATGCATCATTCATATATGACCTTAAAAAATTGTATCATATAATTTGGATCTTTTAGTCGACTCATTCTCAACAACTACTAATTTTACAACTGCGGTAGATTACTGATATTGACATACATGACGAATACTTTTAACAATATACACTTGATTAGAAAGCAAATCCAACTGAATTCCTAGCAAGTAACAAATGTCAGATATCATTTATTTAATATAAACACTATATACTTTATAAGATGTCTTCCATTTCATGATATTAACCGATAATTAAAATAGATCCACCAGTCTCGATTACTTCAGAATCATCAATTTTTGAAATAACCACTTGCACACTGTAAATTTAAGACGAAAATGCAATATTCTCTTAAATTTAAGATTTTGAATTTCAGTTACTTGAAGAAGCTGGAGAAAAGGTAGATACTAATTTGTATTTATGCTTCATGCATGCATGTTACATTGTTTCTAACTGTTCTACCAACGAGATAAAACGTAAAACCGTGCTAGATGAAGGTAAACTTTTATATTCATACCAACCAACACTCTCGAACTATATAGAGATTATGCTTTTGCATAATCTGTTTTCATACGCAAATTTTGCACAATTTCTGGTACACTTATGGATTTTCCAGTATTTTTAACAGAGCCATAAGGCTGCGTTTGCTTGATATAATTGATTGTTAACAAATAATGGAAATATATTATTCCACAAATTATTTAACTTTGAGTAATACCACTGTTTAAGAGACGGTAGTAAATACAAATACTCTTTTCTTGTGAACTTAACAGCATTTCTAACAATTATAATTTGAAAGCATATGGATACGGGAAAAAAATCTTTGAATTGGAACCAAACAATCGTGAAGTGCTGAAATGGTGTGCAATAATAACGGGATCATTAGCTGAAGTAGCAACAATGAAGGAAAAAATAGCTCTTGGACATGAATTTAAAGTTTATTTTTAGCTTAAATTTAATGCAAGTACTGTAAAGAGTGAGTAATTCGAGGCTTTAATTTTACGTAAAAAAAAACACTGTATTATTCATACTTTATCATAAAACACAGATACACACAACTAATTCTTGAAGTTCCTTAAGAACATAAGTTATTATTTTTAAGTAACACACAAAACTTTTAAATTCTGTGATAAGAAATTTGAATATTTTTAAAAAATTGCAGAATTACTTGGATAAAGCAGCAGAAAATGAACCAGATTCATCTATATTCCACATGCGCGGACGATTTTCATATCAAGTACAAATATTTTCTTTGGAACTAATATCAGTACAGCACATTTCAATCCTACTCATAATTTCCAGATCGCAAATTTATCCTGGCTTGAGCGTACAGCAGCTAGCGTTGTGTTTGGTGCACCACCATATGCTACAATTGAAAATGCTCTCAGTGATCTTCTACGAGTTAACTATTTCCATTTCATTATAAAAATAAATGCTGAAAAAAAACTTACTTTAACACTCTGTACTATTTCCAGGCTGAAGAGCTTAATCCAGGTCAAATTGATAATCAGCTTTATATAGCCAAGTGTTATTTAGACCAAGGTTAACCATCTCTTTTCACTAATTTTAAATATCAACATTTGATGCACTACGAGCATTCATCGAAATATGCAGTCAGAATTTTTATAAACATTTTTATAAGAATGAAAAAAAATGACAACAATGCAACTTAATAAATTAAATGATCAAATGATGGCTATAACTTAATGTCTTAATTTAAAGAAAAGCTAAATAATATAGAGATGTAGATGATGCGTTAAAATAAAATAATTTATGTCAAATACAATTAATATAAGTTAAAGGTGACAGAATAAATGCTAGTAAATATTTAACAAATGTGATTTATTCTCACGCTGTTGATGAGATTGATGTTGAACAGCAAAATGAAGCAAGAAAACTCATAGAAAATATAATAAAAGAACAGGTAATGATACATTAAGCCATATCATAAGCTATAAAGGTTGAATCCAAATCAGTTCATCAAAATAGATAAAAGCAAATGAGAATAAAGATGTACATGTAAATTGATTGAGAAGTTAATAATATTTTCATTATTGAGCTTGGATCAAATATAAATCAAAGTTTTGTCAAGTAATAATACAATTTCGAAAATAATCAACTATTAATTACTGCATCTTACAAGTTTCTGCACTTAAATATGCTCATGAAGTAGAATCTTATAGGCCACTCACATAGACACTTTGCAATCTAATCTAAACACTACACACATGTTGCCAGTTAGACCTTATTATATTATTACTTAAAATTGAAGAGTAAATATTGTAATTATTCTTCAGTCACAAGAGTTGATTACTTTAAAGATGCCAGAAGAAATCACAATGAAAACGAGAAAGGCCAAAGATAATACAAAATTAGAAGACACAAGTGAAGAATCTAATCCAGAAGATACTAATGATACTGTGAAACCAGAATAAAGCTGATCTGACATCTTTATTAATTTCATAATTATCATATCATAAAAGAATTGGTCAACAGTATTAATCATGCATGAATCATTTATATCCAATTTACTCATATAGTTGAATCTGAAATCCTAAGAACCATTTCGAGTCAAACTGAATTCTATTTCCAATATTTGACATAAGTTGAATATCGCCTAAATGAGGTAAATGGGGGGAGATATATCCCAAGTTTGGTCATTGTATGACGACGTATGACTTCACCAGTTCTTCGAGGTTAGCGAATTAAATCTAAACCTGATAGATTACATATTGCGATAACAGAAAAATAGAACAAAATGAAATTTGGAGAGACGGAAAGTGATAAATCGCTGTGGACTGTAAATTACTATTGTTATTCATCAATACTGCGCGTAGGGTGGTGGTGTGATTTGGCATTTGGCAAGTGTGTGTAAATGGCATTGTATGTAAGTGTGTGTTAGTGTAGTGCTGTTTGGTACTCTGAGAAGAAATATTCGACAGAATTCGATTTAGAAAATTTTTTGCTTTTTTTGGAAGATCTTCTGTTAGGATACGTCGATTTCGATGGAATTCATTCATTTTGAGAAGGTTACTTTGTCGTTTTATATACCGATTAATTATTTTTTAGTATTATTGCATTTAAGGTATTAAGTCGTTCCTGTAGTTGAAATTTGGTAGTTGTTTTTTTTTTCGACAGTTTGCAAATAATTCAACATTTGGAATTAACTTTGAAAAGCCATATAATGTTCTTTAAGAATTGCTAATTTTCAGCAGGAAGCATCGCTTTGTGCACAGCATGCTGTAAATATGCTTCTTCAAGGCTCATATTTCACAGCAGTGGATTTAGCTGAAATTGCTTCAAAAATTGATATGCGCGAACGAATAATGATGAATGGAAATAGTGAAAAGAGTCAGAATTATGATGATTCAGGTTTCTTTTCTGTTCAGGTAAGGAATTGGTATCCCTGCGAATTTAAATTCCTTAGTCAATGAAAAGTCAATAAAATCATCCTATTTTGCATTTCTTAGTTCAATGCTACGAAAATTTCAGGTCATTGCTGAAGCGCTCAAAGTTTTCAGCTTAGAACTTATTCCTCTTAATAGTTCTCGTGCTGCAGCTTATCGTAACAATCCAACGTCAGTGAGCATGTCTCCTTGATACAGAATTAATGATTTGAATTATTTTTTTTGTGAACATCTAATCCCAGTGGAACTTTGCAAATTTATTCACCATACATGATCTGAATTATTTCATGCGAATAGTAGATCTGTTTTAGTGTTCAGTTCCTTACTTGTTCCATGTTTTCAAAAATAGTATTCAAAACAATAATCAATTTTTTTAGAATTGGTTTTGTCATTAAGACTTTAGCAGTTTCTTAGTTTTCAGGTTAGGGCAAGCTTACATATGCAATTTGAATCAACACTGGTTTGCTGTACGTCGGATTGGTTTGCAGTGGTTTACATTGAATTCCTTGCTTTCAACTCCTAAACTGATCACAGATACATATCTCAATCTTTTTTTTGCTCAGCTAATTCAGAGTGGTAAGAATATTGAATATAATGTAGTCTTCGAAACTTTGAGTAATTATTGTAATGTAGAGATTATGACTTAAGGCAGAATATCCGGAGTATTTAGGTCTTCTAATTTTCTCTGGATTTGCAAAGATTATAATTTTATTTCTTTGCTAAAGTTTTTTTTTCTGATAGTATTTAGACATACAGGGAACCACATTATTTTTTTATAACAATAAATTTTCAGGATACTCAATATTTCTTGTGGATGGTACTCTTCCATTATGTATCGCTGATGAAAGACTACTTCATTTTCCTGTTGATCCGTCTTTAGCAGGAAAGAGCGATCTATATCCTGTTCCTACTACTTTTTCAAATTCTGAACCAATTCCTAAGGAAATGGTATGAAACTTAAAGTGATTTCCAGATATTCTGGATTAGAGAAATGGGCTTGTCCGTTTTAGCAGCTTGTATTTAACAATATTTTGCATGTACATGGTGTTCATAACGAATGTAACTGCCTATTCATTTGTAGATGTGGTAGAAGGCATATAATGGATATTTTATGTCGAAAGATTTCCATATTATACCTCAAATGTTTAGTTTTAACATACTATTAATAATGCTTTAAAGCAGAATATCTCATGAGAGGAAAGTGTTCATTTTCATTGTAACTTTATTAATTTGGTTTCGTGCTACAGGATGATGAAGATGAGGATTTGCAGTTGGCACTAACACTGAGTCGTCAAGCAATGGGTGGTTCAAAACCTACGGTAATTGATGATAGCTCATTGCCAAATTTCATTTTCCTGTTATTGCAATTGTTTTTGAATTCATTATCTGAAACAACTAATTGAATTATCTTTCATTTTCATGATATATTTCTAAATAAGTTTATGATATTTTACAGAAGGCAATGACCGATGAAATGGTGAATGCTGGTAATCATGGTAATTGGAATGATAGTGATGACGAGGCCTTGCAAAACCAACTTAAGGAGGCGATTCGATTAAGCATGGAGTCTTATAAAGAAGAAAATGTAGCGGGACCCTCTAAAGTGTTACCGAATGTTGTCGGATTGAACGAAGCACCAATCACTGATGAGAACAAGTCGGACAGTTTTATTCCTCCGGGTGAAGAAATTCGTAAAAAACGTGAAAATTTTTTAAAACGATTTCCAATGTAAATTTGTTCCCTCATTAACTGATGCATTTATTTACAACCATCGTTAATTTCATAATTTTACGATTTTAAAGCGTTGAATATAGCAGTTAAAAACTGGTTTTCTTCTGTATGAATTGTTCGTATTATGTTTGCCTAATTTTCATGAATTTTTCTCACAGTTAATTATTATATATTAATGTTTAATGACATTTTGTTTTGTTGCTTTTTTTAATTTTTGCCCTGTTATTTTTCCATTTTGTCGGAATTGATTTTATTTGAGCGAAGACTGGTGTGTCGTGAAATAGTTTTATTAATGAATTGAGAGATTTAAGATTTAGAACTTTTTAGTGTCAGTAATTAAGTTTATAACGTTCGGCTTCGTTTTTGATCGTTTTTAACTTTGTCACTCTAAGGCTGATATGTCTCATGAAAAGTATTTTCAATATTCTGAAATTTCGGAGCTGCAGAAAACTAAATTGGCATGTACAAGGATTTAGAGATGGTATTTTTGCTGTTTCTACATGGTATGGATCATCATGTTACCTATTATGTATGACGAATTGATTTTTGGAATAAATTTCATTAATAATGTGAAGTCTTTCTCTTAGTTGTCACTCCCAAGCTGTATTTCATTTCATTCTGAAAAGTTCCAGTCATACCGTTGTCAGGTGCTAATACAAGGCAATGGCATCGTCTTCTAGTCAAGTTATGTGGTGCTTATTGTGTCATGGATGAGTGTTTGGTTGCTTGAAGTGACATACTGATTTTTTAATTAGAAGTAAGATTTAAGAAAAGGTTTAACTGTAATCGAATTGAAATTTGCAGTCGTTGGTACGTGAGCGAAGGACCTTTTCATCTAACAATATGTCAACTTTCGAAGGTTAATATACTGTCTTTTGGTGCAAGAGATTGTCTGTTACACAGTTTCAGCTTTAGTATTTTGTTCAGTTGATTGTAGCTAATCAGAATTTAATTAAAGGTGAACGTGTAAGAGTCTATTTTAGAGGATGAATGAGTTATTGTAGATAAGAGAGAAAGGTTCAGAAATAGTTTCATATTAATTTTCTCGAAATAACGACAGTTTTCAGTTTATATAAATTTTACGGAACTGCGTTGGTTTTTTGTTGTTGAGACCGAAGTTATAATACATAGAGATTTTCATATCCTCACAGTTATCGTTTAGATGTAATCGATCTTGATTTCGCCGAAGATGAACTTTTTGTTAATGAATTATCTGCCACGCAAGCAGTCGATTATTCAGCTTCTTCCATCTTATCGGAGGTAGTTTGTTCTTTATATTTTTGTACATACGTAATTTAAATGTTTTATCAAAGAGCTGTACTACCATTTATATTTGACATATAAATTGTTCCGCGGAAATATTGCACGTTGCGGCCCTACTAGAAATAATCAATTGCTTGTTAAAGTGAAATAGATTCAAAAGAGAAACTAACGAAGTTAGTTAAAGTAAATTCTGAATTAAAACGTGTGTACCTGAATTCTGTATCTGACGAGAAATATTGTGCAGCGATGTCTTGGTACAAAAAATACCGTAATATTTATTGAATATCTGTTAGTTGTGCATTCTCTATCCTTTATTTTATAAAGTTATGTAAGTTACGCCATAATCCCTTATTTCAAAGAGAAATTTCTGGACCTTAGTCAACGTCTATTCTTTAAGTTATCTCAGCTGTGGCCTGAGAATTTGAGTTCTATTCATTTACAAGATGAAAATTATTTTGGCAATTAGTAGCATTATTGGCATGGAAGTAATGATTTGTTCATTTTTCTACATTGAAATTCTTTAAAATTTGCGTTTTTGATTTTCAGGCAGCTTATCAGAAATGTAATGAAAAAATTTTTTTCCTCTAGTCTCCAAAATTGCTTTCATTGCTCGAAAAAATAATTTTATATTCATCGAAAATATGCTTTCAGTTCTGTAATTTTATATTCATTTCTAAAACCATATTGATTTTAGTTTACACTGCAGTGGTTCACACAGGAAATAAAAATTTTTCATTGTGATCGAAAAAGAAGTCAACTTGAAAATGACATTTAGAAGTCAAATAAAGTATTTTGATCAGATTTGTTTTTGAAAGCATAAGGAATGTGATGATATGGTTGGTAAAGTATATGGTTGAGAAAAAAAAATTAGTCTCAGTTGTTTGCATCGAATGTTAATATGTATGTATGTATGATTATGGTGAAGGATAGCTGAAAGAAAATTGTAAGAGATTGGTTAGGAATAATGAAAAGTTTTTTTTGTTTGTTTCAACTGATTGTAACAACACAAAGTGCAGGAGAAGTGTAAATGTATAAAGCATACGTTCGTTACTGATTCTTCATCATCATTCACATTTTTCAGAATTCAACAATTTTTTTTTCGTTCGTAATGAATGATTTATACTTTTATATTTGCTTGTGAATTAAATATATAGCTTTTCTTGTTTTCTCTATTGGAATATTAAGAATTTGATTTGTAAACTCAAAGAAGTTGAGAGAAAATGCAGTTGTTAAAGTCAAATATTTATTATTTATTGTTTTGTAAATAATAATCTTTTATTTTAACTAAGATAAAATTGTTGCTCTTGCAGAAGAAATACGCAAAACTTTCATAGAATGCTTTTTGAATTTTCAAACAGTAATTGTGAACTATTTTCAGTCAGAATCCTCGTTACGAAAACATTTAAAAATATCAAAAGTGACTTTTTAGTATTATATAATGTAAATTCTAGTTAACAGTCTTCGAAATATTTGTGTTTTTATTCCAGTGTTATCATTACTTAAGCGTAGTTGAAGCTATAATGGAATCTATTCACTTTTTCAGTATCATAACATAAAAAACATAGAATGGTTTCGTAATTACTAGCAATTACATTGATAACCATTTCATATCAAGCAATTAAGTATCAACTGTAGTATCGTTTACTGTTTGTAATTGCTTGCATCTTTACAGTATTATGAGACAAGAATAATTAATGGACAGAGAATGAATGAAACGTGCAAATGGATTCATTATTTTGTTTGTGAAAATGAATTTGTGGAAGTGAAGAATTGAGGTATTTTGTCAACAGTCAGCTCAGTTAAATCTTTTGTGGTACAGTAATCTGTAATGAAATAGGATTGTTACTGTGAAAAACCACTGAGGTGCATAGTGTTCTAAATGTATAAGCACTATGAATAATGAGTATTGCAACATGATGTTATGTTACGTATAGTGAAGTAATTAATGTCTAGCAAATTATTTTCATTGATAATTGATTTTTTTGTGATTCAAAGTAAAGAATCAACTTTTCTAAAATTAATGTTTCCTCCTGGAGCATCTTTTTGTGATCGAAATTTGACGATGATGAAGTAGGTGAATGAGTGAATTATACTTGCTATTTGCTGCATTAAAATTTGATCAAGTGGCGTGGAATTGATGTTTTAAAAATTAAAAAAGTATTCATTTTCCGTCTAATAGATAACAGGGAGAACACAGGTGTGCTATATTAGATACAAAGAAAGAGTAGAAGCTTTTTGTTTTATTTGCGTCGATTTAACAAGGTCGGAAATAATTCTCGTCAGGTGGTAATTTCGTCTTGTGTCTTTCTCTTCGCAAGTAATGGTTTCATCGTTTTTCTTTTATGCAAATCAGCCGAAACAAGAAAGGTAGGAGGTCATTAACTTACGTCGTTCTTATTCTGTCTCACATGAATTGGTTTGAACTCGTTGTTGTAACTCAGCAATATATGAAATTTTTATTACCTTGACATAACCTGCCAGCCATTTATTTACTGACGTGATAAAATTAGTGAATGACACATTTTTTGATAATTGAAGGTGAAGTGTATGAACAAAATAAGAATTTAATTTTTGCAATAAAAAATTTGAAAATGAATTGCAATTATTTTTTGAAGCATGCAATCGTACTTTTTAAAACAGTCATCATTCTTTTTTTTTGTACTGGAGTGATTTTTTTTCCATTTAAATATTATCCCTTCTGAATTTTCTTCCGGTATTCCATTGTGAGTATTGTACAAAACAAACTTGAAGAAAGGAGAGTAGGTACAATTCGCTTTACATGTAAATTCGTTTGTACCTTTTTTCATTTAGTGATTAAAATAATGCGACATAAATGTAAATTGTTGATCACCTAGGCAGGATTCATTATGGCAGCAGAGGTAGTAGTAAATCCATCACTGTTTTATTAAGAAACATTTTTTCACATTGACTATCAAAGAAAAGTCTGAGACGTTAATCATCATTTGGACGGGGATATGGTACCATTCGATGGATTATACATAATTTTGGGAATGAACAATAAATATATGGCGTGGTGTATTCTCGATGACTTTGAATAATGGCTTTCTAGAACATTCTAACATTTTATTGATCTTCACCTGTCTTCACAAGAATTTAGTCTACCGTACTCTTTTTTTTACAGATTACTGAGTAGGAAAAAGGGTAGTTGTATGTGTGCGTATGTATGTGTCTTTCTAAATATTGGTTAGTTAAAGAGAGAATTCACGACAGATGTGTGATGAACTGTTGCGAAGATTTATTGTCAAGCACGGACAATGTGGAAAAAGTGCCACCTAATGTCTGACTTTCTTCGTTATATTGTGTTACTATTTTGAATAAGAAATAAAAATACGGCCAGTTTGAAAGTGTTTGATTGCTGTAAATACAATACTTTTGGTGTGTAATGTGGTGGTCTAAGCAAGTAAGTGTAGTGCTGGCTTAATACAATTATTGTTAGCACTTGATGGCATCGCTTGACAGGAGAAATGATCCGAAAAAATCTTTCGTGATGTAAGAAAGCAGAATGACTGAGTTGATGGCATCAAATTGTAAACATTGTATTTATTTCTGTGTACTTGTAGATAGTAATTGAGGGAGATCGCATGTTATCGACAAAATTGAAAGTTGAAATGGTCATCATAATATACAGCTGGACAAAAGAGCGTCGGAACTGTGTAGTGGAGTGAATATGATGCATGTCTGTAGTATATGTAATGTGATGAATGTTTTGTTAAAGCTTTGTGTATTTCATTCCGTTTTGCTAGAAGCAGCAATACAGCCGTAATGATGCATTTGTGAAGTTGCTTGTTTAGATAAATTCTACGTAGCAGTCACTTGACACTATTTTTATCCTCTTTTGCATTCATATTCAGCATTGATTAATTGTTTCTAAAATGTAGCAGATGGTAGTAATAGTTGTTCCAGCTTCATATTATCAAACTCTCAAGGCCTTTTTTACTTAATTTTGTTGCTTTTATTTTTTTCTCTGGGATTGCTAAGGTACTGCTCGTTCTCCTTAGTTTCAGTTGCTGTTGCTGCTACTGCTTATTTCATTGACTGTTTTGTCAATACAAACTACATTATTAATACAACATCAGTGCTTCGGAATAATAGAGAATGTTCATGAAGATTCTGAAGGAGGGATTCAAAAACTTAGTACTACATCCTCATTTTGGTGTCTCAGCATGTAAGTGCTCAAGGTGTTAAAAATTGTTCACAGTTTGAGAGAAAATCACAGTTTCTTCTAGTTAGCGACAACTTAGTGTTGTTTGTGTGGTCAATTTTCTTTGTTAGCTGGATTTCTCCACCCTCTATACATTTCTTCTGATGGCATTCATCTTGCTGGCTGCTCCTAAATATTTCATCTTTGTGCAGTGAAGCATAAAGAGATTGTCGTAGCTTGGGTTTGTTGACTTGTGGGGCTTTCGACTTACTGGAGAAACGGTATTGTTATTTGTCATCAAATAACCCCGTTATTACTGTGTTTAGATAGCATAACCTTGGAGACTAAATTTGATATGTTGTGGAACAGCCAAGTCAGTTTATGCTTTCGCTTACAAAAATCAACTCAATATGTTGAGGCTTTATCAAATTTTGCCTTACTTGCTATTTTTTGATGCAATTACCACATATTTGTAGATTCTGCTTCATAAAAAGCGGGTTAGTCTAACGAATTTCTCCTACTGTAACACTGCCCTCAGAATGTTGAAAATTTTCAAAGCAACAAAGAGTTCTCTTGAGAAACTTACTATACTTTAGATCCTATCAGTTTACTGTTTCTAAATTTACATATTTCCTTCCATTATCCTAACTTTGCAAAGAGAAAGATACGACAGTTAGTATAATGTATTTCCAAAGAGGAACTTCGTACTTTTACTTGGGTAGTAAGTTAAAGATACTTTGAAGAGTCATCTCAAGTGACAATGCAGGGTTTATGTTATAGAAATATTGATGTAAAAGTATTGGTATTTGTTTGGTAATTCGGTTTTTTCATGTGCTCTTGTGATGCTGATTATTTGAGAACATGCAACTGCATTTAAACATGCTGAGGATTGGTTTTGGCTTGATAAATTCTCACTCGGCCGTTACAGGAACGATCGCACATGTGATGTGTAAACCACCTAGTAAGTGATTTCTTGCACTAGTGCAGGGAAGTGTAGCAGAAGATTTTTTATTAATGAGGTTTGTAACTAGATGTTGCAGTTGTGAAAATTTTTTTGTAAGCGAGAAAATGACACATGATGCTCACATTGTTAAATATCAACAATAGATCTGTGTGGTGTGAATAGTTTTTGAGTGCGTTAAGCAGAAGTTGAAGTTGGCCACCGTGTAGCAGCTTAAGCGGAGTTCGAGAAGTAAATTATTATTTCGACCATTACGGTTTCGTGGTGCAGACGAACAGTACTTTCTATTAATTTTTATGATAGGAACAAACAGCTCCCCTTGATTAACTGCATGCCTGCTGCTGTCTGTGCATTACGGAAAATATAAATATTGCTGAGTCTTTCAAGAGTAATTGAAATCAAGGATAATTGTTTTTTTCCACTCCTCTATTATTGCTTCAATGTAAAACAGTCAGTAGTAGTAGTAGCAGCAGTAGCAATAGGAAATGTATTGCTGCCTCTGTAAGTTGTGCCATTTTCTTCATTATCTTTTAAAAGAGTACGGTTATCAGTTTCACTTTTTACATTCACATTGCCAGTGCACAACTTAGAGTGAGATGAATAACGGGCGGGTGGAAGGAGTGGTGAGGAGATTTATTCGTTTCGCCTTTTTGTTTCTCGACTCTTCTGGCCTTGTCGTGCATGTATTTTCTTTATTGTGCACACTTCCCGTTCATGTCTTCTTTCATATTGTAAATGCATATTGATCTAATTTGTCATGTTTATGGGCTATGTTTAGTGGCTTAGATCATATTTGGTTGTTACCTAGTTTGTTCTAGGCAGGCAATATATATCGCATCATCTTTTATATATGTACTTTGCTGCTATTGCATTTGGATTTTTATATAATTTCTGCTGACTAATCAAGCGAAAAATCGATTTTATTTTGCCTTCGGTAATTCATTGTGTAAGGAAAGATGTTGTTTTCTGTAAATTAAAAGTTCTTATACCGTATTTGGAAATAGATCAGATCTCTAAATGGTATATGAATTTTTTTCGATTTTTATTCTTTTTTTGCGATTTAAAGGGTATGTTAGTTACAGAACTGTACTCTGATGAAGCATTAGGCATTAGTTTATTAAAATGTACAGAGATTGATATTACAGCCGTCTTATCTGCAAATATCTGCGAAATTGTTTTTGTGTGGAAGAATATTTTGTCATGGGAGGCAAAACATCAGTGTAATATTTTGTTGTGCAAGTTCTCATGCTCTCAATTAAAGTCTAGTTCAAAAAACCTGGGAAAGCAAAAATATGATGGCGAGCGCTGTAAGCTTATGAAGCAGAATTTATGTACTATTTCCTTTTTTTAAACATATTTAGCAAATATCGACGATGAGTAGAGTTCATGTGGAGCAACATTAGCTACCGAGTTGTGAAGTGAAAGTATGTGAGAGGTAAGAAGGAAGTAGATTTGCTTTTAAGGCAGAAATAATAAGTGAGCAAGGCCAATTGTTAGTAGCTTGTGAGTACAAAATGGCAGGACATTGGGAAATATTTTGGTTTGATTCAAAGTGGAACCACAAATATTTTCGTTTTTTATTGTAATAATCTTATTGCAATGAGAAACGAAGACGAGAGAAACGGACATGCTTGATTCGCATTAAAAGCTGATACTTGTGACCGTTGCGGGTAATCAATAGATTTTTAATCTCCGAGAAAAGGCTGTTAAGAGAAGTATACCTAACTTCTTCAGTCAGGCTATTACTACCTAAATTTTTGCGTTTCAGAAATCATATTTGAGATCTGAATACTTGTGGAGTATGTTATTTCTTTTTTTTCAATCATGAAGGGGTGCTAGTCTGATTGAAACTGGGCCCAATGTGAATCTGTGAATAAACTAGTTATTTTAGAGTGCATGCAAAATGTTTCTATTTGTTAAACTACTATTATAACTTGTCTTGTCTGTTTCTTTCTGCTTCAAGTTCAGCTTTTATTGGCTTAGACCCCTAGAGTATTACATGAGATTTTGAAATGATAAAAAGTGTTTGGGTGGTCGATTGACTGAGATGTAGCTGCTGGCTAGGAAGTGTGTGAAGCTTATTAGCTGTGTTTATTACCACCACTCAACCGCTGTGATTAGAGAGAAAATGCACTGGGATGATGTGTAATCAAGGAATGAAAAGGTACGTGAAGTAACGGTTATGCATGGTACACATCATCATTTATATTAAAAATTAATAGGAGCTTCCATTTCGAGTTTAATTAGGTAGGACACGTGTGTTAGACAATGCAATTAGTTTTGCTGTCATTTCTAGGTGATAATTGGTGTGCAAGAGTTAGATCATGAGCAAGGAACTATAATAGCTGATAAATTTTCGTTTGCATAGAAAGGATGAGGTGCGAGTGTTGTTTGCTAAGGGATGAAGTGAAGGGGCGGTACTATCTGCAATTGTGCTCCTTCATTTTGTGATAATGTTGGTTGCAATAGACAGGAAAGCAAGGTATTGTACTGAGGTTTGAGTGAGTAGTGTGTGTTTCACTTTACCTACCATTGTCAAGCAGCTTACAGGTTGGACTGCGGGCACTCGGCTGGTTGCAGTATTTCATTACATATATTAGAAGGGATTGAGGAGAAAACGGGTAAGTAAACGTTATCTTGGCTCTCTGCATTTCTTTGCGTAGCTAGGCTGTCGCTGCTTTTTCATGAAAATTGCTGACATTGATTTTAGTTGTGTTAGAAGTGTCGGCCATGGAAGGAAGAGGAGTGTCAAGGCATGGCAGATTGCGTCTCCCTTTCATGCACACATACACATACATACACGCACACACTCACTCACACTATGCACAAAGCAGCTGGCTCACATGCTACTCCCTAGGGTGTGTAGTATTCACTGCTGCTGATTGGTTCTCATAAAGATAGATGAGGGACGAGTTGTCAGTGCACACTTATACTTTGAGAGGGACTTCAATCCATTATTTATGCATCTGTAAACGGAGCAGCTTACTTCCCATGAAAGTACTACTATCCTATCTTTATCTACTGAACGCACCATCATTACTCATCTCAGTGATTCTGACACTCAATTCCGTAAATGATGCTTATATAGGTATTTTTCGTTTTGCTAAGTTTGAGTTCAAGATTTTGAGTTATCAATATTTATGATCAGAAAGCTGATATTAAGTTTCCTGTTAAGGTGTACAATGTGTGCTTTGTGATGTTGTAGCATGTCAGTCTTCAACTTTTGCTGGTGTTTCCATTGGCTGGTAACATTTCATGCAAGGGGTTGCGGAAATAACGAACGATTCGTTATCGAGATATAGAAGTAATCGGCGTTATTTGCCATTGTTTGGAATACAGTGTGTCGTTTACTTTCTTTACTCGTATCTTGGCAACTCTGTTCATAAACAGAACATTCATGCAGTTTTTAGGCCTTTCAGTGGGTAATGCGCATATAGTATGTAGTATAACTGTTTATTTTTACATTCTTCGCACACAAGTTTATTATAGTAAGAACATGTCGATGTTAGTACTCGGTAGGATTAGAATTTAGCTGTGGAGAAAACTTCTGCAAAGCTGATGAAGAAAGCAGTAGTTTTTCCTCCGTTGCCGTTAACACGTAGAATAGCTGTATCCCAGTCCAGCAACATACCACTTATTATTATTCGTTCCTTTAACCACCATTAATGTCTTCGATATAGGACTGCTTTTTTGTTGATGTTCTTCTGCATTTATTGCAAGGCATCGTTTCTTCCTTCATCCCTTACCCCTAATGATTACCATTTCATTTACATTTAGAGTTATAAAATGTGTCGGCATTAACTTTTTGTAGTGTTATGGTACTTATTGGAATCTTTTGCATTTTACTTGCCTATAATTAGTGCTGGTAGGTAGTATCGGTTCTATTCGACAAGGTTTGGCAAGTTTATGTCTAGTAGGGTCATAGGAGTGCAATAATTGTTGTTTCGCTTGTACTCCTAGTTTCAATATAGCGCTTAGATGGAACGGTAGATATTGACCTACTTAGTGGGGCTCTTGGTAGTGACCTACTGTTATTATCTTAGTTTTTATAGTATTTATCTCCATTGGTAGTGAAGTTGTAATGCATTTATTTGTGGGCATTGTTAGGCTCTTGGTCTGGTATTTTCGAGCTGAGCATTATTATTTATTTTATGTTGCTTTTCATATATTTGAAGAGATTTAACGGATTGAGGTACTCTGGTGCAGTTTTTAGAATAGGTTACTGGTGTCAGTTGTCATTACTGTGGAAGTGAAATCTTTGAAATTAGCAGCGAGTTATACTCACGCATGGGCATATGGTGCTGATGCGGATGACTTGAAGTATTCCATCAATGATGAAGAGATAGGGTAAGCCGGTGTGCTGTTATAGGTTGGGCATGTCATGCGAGGCGTGGCTATAGATGGGTGTGCTTGGACGTCTTGTCATTTGTAGGTAAGTAGGCAGTGTTGTTGTTTTATTGCATCTTAGGTTTGAGGGGGTTGTATAGCACAATATCTGCGTGCTTGGCTTTCTCTCTACGATATGCGAGCCCAGTGCCCATTACACTCGTTATTGCTTCATTTGTCTTTAGGACCTTTCCAATGCTGGCAAGAGTAGCTGTTTTGTTGGGTTCTAGGCTTCGCATTACTGCAACATAAGTTGTGCTTCCCACTTTTTTAACATTTTTTTTCTACACATTTTGCTTGAACTAACCAACTTTGTCGCATTACAATAGCTTTCTTAGTTTTAGTACTTTATATTCCTTAAAGACATTTATTTATTCCAGATGTGTGCACCTGAGACTGAGCAGTAACATATATTACAGTAGGCAAAGGTGAGATTTCATATGCCGGCTAGCGAAGATTATAGAACACAATCAAATTGCTTGGGTCAGGCTGTATCTCATGTTTATGGAGTAATCTTCAAGTTCGCATAACTTTTTCGGTTGCCTGTCCTATTCATATAGTAGCTGGCAGTCACTAACTAGTGTGACTTGAGGGTAGGCATACACTGATCTTTTTCACTGTGTCGTCTACTATGTTCACAACTGATCAAGGACTACAGCTTAATAAACTTATGACCTATCACAAATGACATGAACGATGTCAGTATCCTCCTAGACTTCTCTTTAAAGAAAGTGCGCGGCGCCTGGGACTTCGACTCAACCTCAGTATCTTTGAGCGTAGGTGAGCAAAGTTTCAGGTGTTCGAGCGCTTTCAATCTCCGCACATCCTCATTTGCGCGGTGTAGTCAGTTTGTATTGTGCATGAGGTGAAGTGGGCAGTTTGTGATGATTATGCAGGGCGAAGATGTGCTTTTAACAATAGAACAGTGATGCTGTGAAGGACATTGGTATGCTCGTGCGAGGCCATACCTGTAAAGTGGGTAATAGCGTTACTGAGGCGCTTTTCATGCATTCATTCATCACGCAGGAAGCACCACCAAATAAGCACAGAGAAGGGTAGTGTGGTTACGGCAGTTAAAATGGGGAGTAATTAAATTGATTGCTCTTTTTTATGCTCTTAGTTTAACTTTCAACGCTTTTCATTCTTCTGATTCATCTCTCAAGGTGCATTGATTGCGTGAGATTACTTACCTCCACTATTTGACTTCAAAATTTTAATGCATTAGTAAGTGAATCGAGAGCACCATTGATTGACATCACCGAGGTTGATAATAAGTTGTGCATTCAACTTTTGTACTACTTGTAGAAATAGTACTCAGTTGGGCAGTGTTATCTTTGCAAATTATAGCAAACGTGATAAATTTTTCGTCAATACAATTGCGCAAACATCATGAGAGTAAATATTGAGGGACTCCTAAAATTTGATATCTTTTTTGTGTTCTTTAAAGACTTCTTATAGGAGTTTAATCGGTACAGTTTTCAAGAAGAAATGTATTCAATCTAGTTGGCAACTTTTATGGGTATTACAGCTCTTTGAGTGAGTAATAATTAGTCATTTTTCAACAATTGATGGGGATTGCGTAGAAATTGATTTGCATTATAAGGGTAACATATAAGAAGAGTTGCATATTATTGTTCTTGTTAATTGTTACAAGAGTTGTTTTCTAGTATCGAAAACCAAAAATATCCGATAAGGAACCGAAAAAGCCAGCAAGAAAAAGTCGTCAGCACATTAGAATACAATACCACTCATCATCCGGCTCTGAAAGTGACCGGCCTCACAAGATATCACTTCCTTATGGTGGCAATCATTCACGCGTTTTGAATGAAGATTACCGAAGACGCAGAAAGCGTTTGCTGCGTGCCAAATGCTTTGGTTTAGATCCTCCTTTGCAAACTGTTCATGCAAGTTTATTTCTTATCGTATATCCAATTGTTAATACAATAGTTATATACTGTGGACAAAGTATGTTAGAATTTTTACACTTCTAAGAAATTTTGCTGTAATTAGGTGTGATTTCAGTAATTAGAAAATATCGTATCAATTTCGTCTAGTGTATATTATATGGACATGACTAATTTTGTATTTTAAAGCACAGAAGTCTGAGGTTATGGGTAATAGTGTTCTGCTAAATATAGCGCTATTACATATTAGAGTCCAAACATTTTAGTTTTGCCAATTTGTTTCATATGAATTTACCGTTTCTGTTCGGACACTGTTTTCAGTAGGAAGCCAGTCAAAACATGATATTGTTGATTCGGTGTGTAGTGTTGTATTTTCATTTAGTATAATTTCATCTTTCTATTTTTGAAATTGTAGAAATCGGGGGGATTCATTCATGGTATTGACGTAAGGCTAGGGATTGAATAAAGTCTTAATTGTTCATAAAATTGTAAGATTAGCTATGAATAACATACATCAATAGAATCAGTTGAAGTCTTGGAAATAGGCAGTAAATGAGATATATATAATCCAATATAGTATTAATTGGTCCATCATTGTTGTGTACGTGAACACTATGCAAGCAATTCTTGATATACATTATATTATTACAAGCGAAGTTGGTTGACCAAGTTTTGTTTTAGTGGAAAGTATTAGGTAACTTTTCTTGATGAGGGTTTATACTCTTCCTTTGACTGATATTAAGATGAAAGTGAGCTAGTGAGAGTACAAAGATTTACGTGTAGTGAATCAAATGAAAAAAAGAATGAAGATATTGAACAGATGATTTATCAATGAAGTAAGGTGGTCGGTTACTAGTGAAATGATCTCGTAAATTTTTAATCAGTCTTATTCTCGCCATGTATTACTAATGGATATTTAAAAACGTGAAAGTTGTAGGTATAGTGGTTACACAGGCTAGAAATTCTGGGATTGAGTGAGAAATTAATCTTTTTAAATATACGGGGAAAAAGTTAGAATTAGGTTAGGAGGAGTGAGTTAGGTTCACCTTTTTCGATTAACAGTAATATGTCAATCTAAGATCACTGATCCCTCCAAAAGATGAAATGTTTGTTGTTTATGGTAATGAAAAATCACTGAGTTCCGAACTTTTGTAATTGTTAATGGAACATGATGGCTGTTTTAACTGAAGTGAGTATTTACTGAATAATAGTAAGGATCAGTATTACCCTTTCAAAATTTATTTTCTCAGTAACGTCATATAGGTCCGATTTGGAGGAGTTTGGCACCTAACTGATTACATTTAAATACTTATAAATACACTGTATAGAGTGCAACATAAATATTTATCATTACTTATATAGTCTAAATGCGATCACTTTGCAAGTATTTATATGAATAGTTGCTGAGGTCTTCATCGTTTCTCAGTTATAGTTAGGGCTAGTTTCAGGTGCATTAACATTTCAAAATTTAATAAGCGGATGATTTTGTTGTGAACGTCATAAACTATGTAGGAAAGGCTGATGAGGGGATGTTCATAGATTCAAAACATCCCTTTCCATCTAGAAACAAGCGTCATCGTCACATTTTCTATAGAACTGTATAGCTGTATTTTTTGGAGTGGTGATGTGGGAAGTACATTACTTGCGATATTTGACACTGACGTTGATGTTGAAGTTGTGATTGTTATTAAATGTAGTGGAATGTATGCATGATATTCTTACTGCATACAGAAGATGAGATCAGCAGAAGTTAGAAGATTTCTAGCCTAGAATATGAACGGGTGATTAAATAGGTAATATCTGTGAGCATTTGGAACAAATGATTGCATTTTTTCGTCGTTTTTTCAGTTATCGATGAGTTAAAGTTTAAGAATACATTAAATCATTTGTATTTCTGGCTTTATAATGATTAATTCGCATATTTTCTGTTATATCTGTTAGACAACAGCACAATCGAACATGATTCACTTCATTCAAACTTTTAAAAAATGGAATTTTTTTGAAATCTTTGCAGACACTGGATACTCAATGTACGCTTGTTTCGTTATCTTTGTTTAGCACGAGAGATGTAGAGAAATTAATACATCTCATAGAGTATAATCTGTAGACCAAAGGGAATATAGTCAACAATTCTTGATTTGTAGTTCAAGCTTGTTTACATGGATTTTTTTGATATATTTTTCTCGAAGTGGGAATATATAGGGATTATGCACGTGTGATTTTAGATCGATGAAGATGAAGTGGAAGAACTGTACTGCTCCATGAATGTTAGAGGTCGCAATTCGCGATACAGACTTCATTCTGTGTATGTACGAGGCGTTGATGGTCTTTCGATATATGAGATCGAGAAGTATGCATATACTAGACAAATTTTATTCTCTTTTTAATTGCATTGTTTTGAAAATGATGGCAGTTCCATTAATCATGTTCTGCTATATCGTACTTATGTGTATTGTATTTTGCTTTACTCTTCATTATTATAAGCTACTCTTCATTATATTAAAGATGAATGCTCCATGAATAATTAATTTAAATGGACGTATTCTCGTAGAAAAGAAAGTTTTTAAGAGAAAAAATTTCATGCGTGGGAATTGATTGATTAGTTTGTTTCTAGCAATAGTTTGAAATTTTCATTTTATTGTACTTGAAGGATATTCGCTGAATTCGATCCAGAAGTAGTGGAAATGATCGATGAAGCTAGTTGTAATGTCATCTGGAGTGATCGTTATACTGTTGCTAAAGTTTATAATTTGTATTTTATTTCTTGCAAAAGATTGATTCTTCAATGTGCGATAAATTTTTCAGTATCATTTATTCCTGCTACTGCAAAGATCTTAATTACGTGTGACCATCCTGTGTTGCATTAATGTACTAAATATTGTAATCACTTTTTTTTAAATCTAGTTTCAGTTCATAAGTCAAAGTTTTTTATTCATTTAAGATGATGCTGGAGATGACAAAACCGTTAAAACGAGTGCGCAGTGGTCGACAAGTGGAAGACGGTGAAGTTTCAGATACTAGTGAGGAAGAAGACGGAGAAATGCGGGAAGAACAAGGAGATGATGTGACCATCAATATAATCAAAGGTTTGAGTGCAATCATACATAATCTCAAGATTAGTTGTTCTTAAGTTATTCTATCTAATAAATGTTGACTCGTGTTTCAGAAGGATCCAATAAGGATACTGCAGAAGCTGATGTAATTGAAGTTGACGTAAATCAGGTTGAAATACCACCTGGTAAGTTTCCTTATTTTTATTGAAACTGACTGTTTGTGCCTTTCTACAGTGATGTGAAATTTTCTCTAGTTATACACGAGCAAATGAGACATATTTAAAGTAAGAATGAATTATGAATATTCACGTCAGTGATTTCTCCGATGCAAGTAGGATAAAGAGTGAAGTGCAGAGTACTATTTTGGTGAAGAATTCTCACTATAGTGAAGTCATTCCGATTTGTGATTTTTGTAACCATCTCTTTCTGTATACGACGTTTATGAAGATCATAAGTCGTTAGTTTTCTAAAATCTTCACTACATAATGTTTCAGTATTATTTGTGTATGTCATAATAAATTTTTAGGAAAATGGCGAGTAATAACAAAACATGTTGGACAGAATAGACTTATTATACTGCGTTTTAGTTTAAGAGAAGATATAGCAAAAGTATGTTGTGTTTCTTATTTTTAAAGACTCTGCAAATTAGTTAGATTTGCAGACTTTTACTGCTACTGGTTAGTCTGATTAATTCTTCCATTTTGACTCTGTAGAATGCAAATATTTTGTGAATAGAAAGCGAATTATCAAAGTTGTAGTAATTTTCAGCGTTAAACTCTTTGTAATTTATAGCAGTACGTAAAGAATATTGTTTTTTTCCCATACTCTTGTTTTGTATTATTATGTAATCATGGATGATATTTTATTGAAGGGTTGCAAACGTATGAAGAATGTGCGAAAGGAGAGTACTTCAGTTTATACAGATCCAGGTAATACATGTGTTTTTTTTGTTTATGAGTGACGATTATTCAACATGTTTTAGATGGCTACAGTTACAAATGGATGAATCGAAAAAATCGTGTAAGACCTGGATTGAATATTTTTGATGATCGAGGTAACGAGTTGGAATGGGATTATGAGCATGATACTAGGTAAGGGTCTCATCTAAGAGCAGAAGTTGTGTAGTTGTGATAGTGTTTACGTATATATGTCTAGTTTATTTATAGATTTTATGAACCGGAAAAAGCGAAAGAGACTAAAGAGAGGTCACCAGCTTCAGATATCAATAAAGCGGCTAATGTTGAATCAGAAGAACGCACGTTCAAAGTACGGGGTCGTGGGGTAAAACGTTTTAAAACTATCGATGATTTGCTCTCTGGTAGTGGTTCGTTGGCAGCTGATCATGAAGAGCATACGTAAGACCATAACTTTTTAATTATTATTATGAGCAGTTACGTGGGATATTATTATTACTATTAATTGTTATTTTTTTGTATTATTTCTGAAATCAGTGAGGAAGACTAACCTCCATATTTTTATTATTAATCATATTATTATTGCCTTGTAACTTTCTATATTGCCATTATCACTTATCACCTATGAAGTTTTATCAATTTGATTGAAAAATGATAATTCCATTACTTGGGACAAATATTCTGAATGAAAGTGTTTTTATAAAATCTGTTGCGAAAAGGTATGTTTTTGGCACTTATCAGATGTGTTGAAAACGTGATAAGCCGAAAATCTCGGATCTAATTTTGTACTTAAGAACTGTACATACTAATTATTCACTCACAAAATTATATTGCAGATTACCTAAAAAAGTAACTAAAAAAGAAAGTTATGAAAGTGATGATGATGAGAACGAAAGCGATCTAAGTGATGATCGAGATCCTAGTCCAACACCGCAACCATGGGATCTCAAACGATTTGTCATATATCCTTAATTTAGAGTGCGTTACTTGGTAATTTGGAGTGAACGTTATTATATTCAGAATTTGCAACATTTGATATATTATTTCACTGCTTTTGTTTGAATTGTTGGTTTTATGCATTGATAATCAACAATATGAGTGATAAAATCGCGGATGCTGAAAAGTGAAAGAATTCCCTAGATTGTAATCCATTATTTCATCTCAAGCAGCGGTCTGAATTATTTTTTGTGAGAAGTATTCTTTAA